GAGGGGAGGGGGCAGGAGGAGGGGGCTCAAAGTGCTCCTTGCCGCGCAACCTCTCCGCCGAAAGCCTCGGCCTAATATGTGTGGAACACGCGGGCGCACAGGCGGATTATGTAATTAGCAGCTGCTGGCACCGCCGCGCCGCGCGGCTGCGACGAGAGACTCCGCGCCGCGCCGCCAGGGCGCGCTGGCGACGCGGCAGGGAAAAGCTAGACTCCCTAGGCAAGGAAAGCAGCGCGTTCTTTTCGACCGATATTATTCCGCTATTTTTAATACAGTTGTCAGAAGTACTGGACGGGAATATGTGCATTAGAAAGCACTAGTATACCCGGAAGTATTAACCAAAATCTCCATCATGTGGTCGGTTGTTGATTGATCGATTTATTTATTATTTCGTGTTTATACGCCCATTGTAGAGGTTTAGAATATTGGTAGAAAGATCTGGAGCGGTCCTTGACCCGTTTGGTAGGGCACTGCTCCGGTATTTGCCTGAGGTTGGTCGGACAAACCACGTAAAACCACCAATCAGAGCAGCTGACTAGTAGAATTCACCACTAGACAGTGGTTGGAATCGATGCTAGTGCTAATTGCCGTAGGATCTCCTAGTACGAACCACCGTAGAATCTCGAACCCTTGCAGATGCAGCGGACGTCACTAAGACATCGCATCTGACATGAGAGATCTAGATACTTTAACTTCAGTAGTTTGAAGTCAATTATAATGCTCCTTAAACGACTGAGAATTTCATTTCACGTACGTAAATATGTGTGGTGTATTGCACTTTAGTTCTCTTGCAAACAAATAGATTTCAACTTAAGCAAAACTTCATGGGTTATAATGGGCAAAATAATAAGAGACTTGGCACGTGTGAACCGGCCTCAAATTAGAAAAATGTGACTCTTGGAGTACCTGCGAGTACCTCTAGGAAAATCAATAGGGGAATGTGTAGCGATATTTTTTCTTGTTAATTCCCCTTATTACGGTGCTGTCTCACGTTTGCTCTGAGCAGCGATTAAATATGCTAGATATTTATATTCACTCCTTGAGCGTGAGTTAAAAGTAGGGAAATGGTTCGTTTTGTCGTGACGAAACGTACCGTTATTTTTTGAATCACGACGAGGAAGACATGCATGTAGTTCATACACAAAATTGTAGCGTACCAAACAAACTGTAACTCTCAGGAATACGTGATACGTACAGTTTCCCACTTATTTTTGAATTGTGCAACACTTGCTTGTTTGTTTCTGGATTCTCGTGAAACACGGTATGTTTGTAAGGCGTGTAGTAGATTGGAAATGCATACTGAGGACTTTTTAATCCTCGAAGGGACGATAGAAATAATTCTGATATTAAAAAATAGACCTACTTTCATTTTATTTTCGAAGCTATAAACTGCACATAAACTATACGAGACAAACTGTCACTGAAAAACATGAAGTTTTTCAGTCATGTAACAAGTAATGTAGTGCATATACCAGTCAGACGTTCAGAAACTCGCAGCACATGACGAGCTGTCTGCTACTTTTTGCCTCCACAGTCAAAATAGTCTAGTCAATAACAGTGTTTCTGCGAACTACGCTCTACCTGATACGTCGTTTGACCTGAGTTTTCGGAACTGTAACAACTGCGAGATTCGGCGT